GGTTTAGGCGCCGTGTATTCTTCGTTTTGGCCAAAACGAAGAATACACGGTGCCTAAACCCAGAAGACGACTTTCTTCATAGTCATCACCATGAAAACCTCAAAACTAACAATGTAACTACTTTGTTTGCTCATACTTTCCACCCATGTGGTATTATTTCATATTGGGATTATTTAAATGTAATGTCAAAAAAGAAGTCCTTGATATATATGTTATATGTAGTTGTTGAGTTATCAGTATTGATTGACATTCTGTTATTCATACAACTATAAACAGGTTTCAGCTGTTTTTATATTTCTACCTACTGTCATGATATGGCTGCGCCATAGCTCAAGCAGTTAGTGTGTGCTGTGGCACACATTAAGTTTCCTCAGTATGCCATGTCTTCACATATTGTTGCTTGCTAGAGCTTCTAACATTGAAGATTCCAATGCTTCCATGCACAGGGTTAATGTTGAAACTACCAATAGTGACTGCTGACTCTTGACTGAATATCCTGAGCAGAGCACAGCAGTAACGTGCTGCTGGCTTTCGCCAGCATGGTCATTAGTGGTTTCAGGTCCCATTTGAACCCATGACCATATCCCACTTCCAAGTTCAGTAAGTTGCTGCTGGTTCTTGCCAGCAGAGTCTTTCTTTATTTTGGGCCATGTCAGAACACATTACCAAATTTTTGTTCATACCATGACCGTTTGTGTTTGGAAAGGGGGTCTTCTCTATGATGAGAGAACGGGTTGGTGGTCTTTCCAAGCAGGCATCACATTTGTTGCTCTGTGATATAGCATGAGTGTGCCTACACTCACAAAGTCTCCAGGTAAGAGCAATTGTATTTTATGGACACAATACACACTTCATCACTTTACCACAATGAATAACATTTAGGCAAGATATATACAGGATATGTCAATGAAGGCTTCTGCAACAGATTATGCCTTATTCTATCACCCCGAAATGGCAGTTAAGTCACTTGATTGGTTGTAGGTTCTCCTTTTCTAGTTGATCACACATTTTAGATGACTTCTGCTTGTTCCCTGTTTAATTTGGTTATGTAACCATACATGTAAGAATATTGAAAGACACAAACAGTTTGTGGACTGGTGTGTGCCCGTGAATGTTGCCGATAGCGGAAAGCACTCAGTTCAGCAGGCGGTACAGTTTCAATAGGTAGGTATCTGCCACATACTCTCAGGTGGAACAGGCATGAAGCATTATTAATGTAATTAAGGCTTAATAAAGAATAAGAAACAATTCTTAAATGATCACATATGAATAGAAAATAGGTCCTTAAGTATGTGCCCAGGGCCTCGGCTGCAGCATGACGATATCCAGTCCAGTATATTGCCAGTGCTCTTCATTGGTACCACTGTTGAAAGTTCAAATCTAACAGTTTATTAAATGAGTGAATTCACACTTGCCTACATTGCAGTTATATTGTATACCTGCCTCTGGTGAATTACTATGTACATAAACATGAGTGTGAAAACTAAGAAGTGTGCAACATGGACCACTTTTCTACCCCAAAATTCATCTACTCTTTGTGACTTCTGAAAGGACTTCACTACAAGAGCTTGTGCACTGGGGGTCACAAAAGATTTCGATGTGAAAAAGCATGAAGGTGGTCAAACTATACTTGTAGCTTGTGGAATATGACCTATCAATAACCATTATATTAATTTTGCTTATTTATTTATTTAATGATTTCTTCAGTCACTGAATAATGAATAGGAAAGAATGCATAAGGAAGAAATCATGGCCTAATTATGGTAGATGTGTGCTCAAACTTATGCGAATTTTGAAGACACTGTTGTCTGGTGTGTGACCCAGTGTAGTTTGCTGTTACATTACTGACATTTTGGTGGAACATGCTGCTTCTGCCTTCATGGTAGAAAAGTAGGTTGAATATAGATAAAGGTGTTCCTGATCCAGGAAGGACAACGATGATGAACCTATGATATGGGCGCCAAAAGTGGCATGTGAGACAATGTTGTCTGGCATACTCGTATAAGTGTATTTTATACGTAGCCGTATTTTCATACAGAAATGAAAATAAACTGCAACAAAGAATATTTGTCCTTTGCCAGCAAGGTTTGACTCAACCATTTTCTCTTTGCTTAAAGCTACAGAATGTGCGCATGTCATCTCAAGGCAGCTCACCACATTCAGCTGTCAGTTTATCTCATCATTCTGTTGCCAGACATGTTTATGAGTGTATCTGTTGGCAATGCACACTGTGCTCTTTGTAGCAGCCTTCTATTGCACTCTGGTTGCTGAATTAGTGTTTATTTGCTTGCACATAATTTGTTGTTCTTTTTAAAATATCATAATATGTTTAACCCTGACTTTACAGTAGCGCTCTTGCTACAAAGTAAGAAACAAAGACATTCAAGTATTCAAGTGACGGAAATAGTAGTGGGACTTTCAAGAATGTGGACTGAAAGGTACAGCAAACTTATGAAGGGTTCAGAAACAGTAGTATGCAGAACTTCGTCTGTGAAGCAACATATGAAAAAACTCATAAATACAATACAAAAATAACACACCTTATGAAATTAAAGAAAGAAAGTTGTGAGTACTGAAAGTGTGAAATACTTGTGTTTTTCTGAAAAGGGCAGGAGTGGCTATTTTATGTCTTTTTACATCTATTTATTATTTTCCACTATGAACTTTGTAAAATCAGCTGTGAGAAGCAGACTAACTGATGGCACCCATGCAGCTTGTATAGCCCTAAAAACAATAAAATATATGCCTGATATAAAACAACTGTCAGCCACTGTGTAGTAACAACAGTGTAACTAAAACTGTTTGTACTGTTGTTGCAATAAACTAGCATAAGCTCTATTTCCTGCTTCCTTCATGCACATTTCTTGGCTTTTTCTTCAACTGTGAAGAAAGAGGCGGCATGTTCCTCCAAAATGTCAATTGACTTTCACTGGACTGCATGACATTACATCCAAGAAGCTAGAGCCCTTCATAATCACCAACGCCATAGAATCCTGAATCCAAAGTAGCATAGTAATTTCATCCATGATATGTATACAGTGGCCGTCTTGTAGCGCACTCAATTTCACCTGTTACTTCACATGTTTCGGCAACATAGTGCCATCATCAGGTGCCCTAATTACGCTAATCTATTGCATTGCTTGCCTTTATATGTCTTTATAAAATTATTTAAAAAGTATTTAAATTAACGTAATTAGGGCACCTGATGATGGCACTATGTTGCCGAAACATGTTGTGAAGTAACAGGTGAAACTGAGTGCACTACAAGACGGCCACTGTAAACATATCATGGATGAAAATCAGTGCAACAGGACGCTAAAATACAGCATAGTAATTTAATGTTTTATAACTGTGAATTACAATGACTTTTATATTTCTTTCTTTCAGGATAAGATGCAGTAAAGTTCATGTCAAGTATAAAGAAAATCCAGAAGGATAACATTCCTCCATTCAGTATTTTGTTTGTGCTAAGAATAACTGTGTTATAAAAACATTCTGATCTAAAAAGAAAAAAATGTTAGAACATTCTATTCTTGAAATAAGATAAGATAGAGAATATATATCTTAACCTGTTAAATCTTAACCAATGTAATGTCATGTTTTGGAGATATGTAAAATCGTACATTATCTATTTAAAACAGATCCATCTTATTTACTAAAGAAAAGTATCTATTTTCAAGTTGTTCAGCTGCTTGCCTTGAACTACTGTTATACTACTGGAAAGTTTGAACAGGTTCCATAGTTGGGTGACTGGGAAGTAACAGTTTGTTTGTCGTGATGTGTTGCAGGAGTTATATAAATGTTGCACTACAGGATATTCTTCCTCGCTACTGTCCATGTTTTTAGCCCTGGCCATTCCCAGCAGTATGCAGAGTGGATCTGGTGAAGTCCACTAACTGAGATAAGGACTGTAGGGTGTGTGGGTTAGAGCAGGACCGTATTTACAGTGCATCACCTTCCCTCCTTCGCACAGTGCAGCTGGAACCACTGTCCCATTAACTGTATCTTGCCATCCTCCTTACTAATCACATGCAGCCCATAAGCCAGGTCTAAAAACATGGCATGTAGTAAAAAAGTCATTCCAACTAAAAACATAAATAAATAAAAAGGAAACAATGTGTAATATAATATGCTACATGATGTAATTGGTTGGTGTTTTCCATATCACATTTTTAAGTCTATTGTGATCTAAAGAGGGCACCAGAGTAGCTTGAGTAGACATAGCCTGTAAGGTTATTAAGATATATTAGCAAAGACTTTAATTTTTAAAGTCAGAGACAATAGATCTTTACAAGCATCAATTAGTATTTTTCGATATCAAGATTTGATTTTTTAGGGTCACTAAACTTCCAATGTTTACAAAATATAAACTGAGTAATTAAAGCTTGTCCTTGTCCATTATAGCATGTCACATTTGGTCATATGAGCAGAAAGTTTAAAGAGAAAATATTTTACAAAAACAAGGACTCAGACAATATAGTGTACGCATGAACCAAGCTCACAACATGACGTCATGTAAATTATCATATCTTCCCACTATTTGGTTCTAACTGAAATGTGATTTTGGTAACACTGGGTGCAATGACAAGGCATCAGAGATTTTATTGTTAAGTTTTCCTAAGTCTTGCTGTAATATAAATCCTGTTATGTTTTGTCTTGCCATCATTGTCTGTATTAACATTGTAAATAGCTTATCTGTACAGATGGTAAAAGAACTGAACATTTGAATGATGGGCATTTATTACCATATTGATGAAGTTATACTCAATAAAATAAAACTGTAAGCAAATGCAGTATTAAATGGATTTAAAATTGAGGAAAACTACATCGATACAATAACATGGACATTTCCACCGTTCATCTCCAATAGATAGGAGAAGTTTTAGTTTGTGTAGTTCAGGTAGAGCCCACTGTTCCAATGAAGCATCAGGCTCTTCTTAACATACACAGCATCAAAACCCAGAAAACCATACTCTTCATAGCTACTGTTGAGAGAACCTTAAATTCAGTACATATATGTTTTATTAGATTGAACTTTCCTGCCATCACCCATTACCTAAATTTTAGTTGTCTTAAATTACAAGGCCATAAAAGGTTAATTTTGCAAACATGCAACATACAGTTGTTACAACCATGTGGGAAAAACATTGTGATCATGTACTAAACATAATACCACTCCAAAGAAGCGTAATACAATGACCAACTACCTGTGTCATAATACTGATATATCCAAAGTGTAGATGGAAAATTAATTTTACTTTATCCATGTACATACTTGCGGCATATAGGCATATGTATTGCTCTTACACATGTGGAATCTACTGTCACATGCTTATGGAAGTGTGCATGAGATTAAGTGCATTAATTATTAAGCTGAAACAATACTGTCTAGAATTCTGTTTGTGTTCTGCATTATTATGATACTTGCAAAATCTGTAATATAGGAGTCTAATTCCTTTCTGCATCACACAAAAATGAATGAAATGAAATGAATATTTCCAGGACTGCACAGATTTCCTTGAAGTCACCCACAAAAGCTAAGGGTTAAAAAAAAAAAGGTCCAGGTAAGAAATGTTCTTTGTGTCAAGAGAAACACAATTCAGGCATCCACTTATAAATAAATGCTCTCAGAAATCCTGATATGTTAAAACCAGGGTATGGGGAGAGGGAATTGTGACATCGATGTACAAAGAGAAGACGTGGGAAAAGAGTATAGGAGACAGGATATGAAGATTCAACAGGAAAGTAAGAATGGGCAGAAGGAAAGTGTTTTAAGGCAAAGGGGAAAAGAATGATGATAAGATAAGCATATAAAGTTGGCTGGAAAGGAATACAGGAGAAGTGGGGGAAGAGAAGATGAAAGATACTACAGAAACATGGAGAAAATAAATTTCCTCGTATTGTGGATGAATCATACACTAGAAGGAATATAATGGGAATAAAATTCTAGATGAGCTAGTGCCTGGAATTTGTGCAGGGCTGTATATTGAATTAATTATTTTATTTAAAACAAACTTAGCATATAAATATATTTTTAAATTAATATGATGCAACAGCACATAAAAATGTGTGAAGACTGTTTTACTTTTCTAGCTGGACTATTTCCACTAAACAGGAATTACTTTCTGGTGAATTTAAAAATATGATAATTTCGTCATACTTTTAGTAAATTAAAACATTATTATAACACAGGTAAATTCTAAATGTTACATAATACACAATCAAATTCATTTTCATATCTCAACTGAAATGTTGTCTAGAACCATGCAGGGGGTTCATAATTTTACTTTGGTTAAAATACATGTCTAGCCCTGTGGGTATGGAAGCATATGTGTATGACTGAATGCGTGACAAATGGATGAATGCATGTGCATGCTAAAAGGTTGATCAGTGGATTTCCTACTATACTTAGTTCGAGACTTGTCTGTAATCTCCTCACCATGAAATATTATCAACACAAAGAAACTAAGCACTTCTGTATATTGATAAACATGCTAACTAGAATGTACTCAGTATTATAAAATGTGGTGTTTGTGTGACTGTAGGACTGACTGGAACAGGGTTGCTTTGTCATGGAATTATTGTTCATGATTCAATGATGGCACTCCAAGTTTCTAACAGAAGAAAATAATTTTAATGTGTTTACATTATTTATGTAAATAACATGTTATATATTTCATCAAATAAAAGCAACTTAAAACATTCGTGATACTGAAGGGCCAATATAAGCACATTCCTATAATGTCCATAATTGATGAAATCACACATACCACTGAATAAAAACATACGCTTTTCTTTGCTAGTTATAATTTTATTGCAGTGATGACAGTGGTATTTGTAACTTAGGTCCACATCTGCTTTCACCTCTGAAGTAATCTGCCAAATTACCCCTCAAAACTTAGCTTAAATACTTGTCCAGTTCTTATTTGTAAGGTGCAGCATAAAGAATATGCAAAAATGTTTGTCCTTTTCAGTTTTCTTTAGACCCTTAGACAACTGAATGCAGGCTTTGGACATTTCCTCTCCAGACGTTCTCTATGACCACAGTCCCAATACTTACATCTTGGAAAAAAAGAGTCAAAATTAAGAATGAAACTACAATTACACTGAGCATTTCAGCGGTTCTCTGATTCTTACCCTGAAAGAAGAAAGCTTAATGACAAGTTTATTGAGTCAACAGACACTGCAGCTGAATAAAACGAGATAACTTTTCTGTTTTGTATCGTTTGAGAAGCTATGACTTCACACATGATCACAGAAATGTTCCTTTTATTTTATAATCTGGATGCAGTTAAAATACAGTGAAATCTGTTCAATACAATTTTTGCTTTGTCAGTGACAAAATAAACTGTAGATAATCCATAACAGCAAACTTTAAATGAGATAAATTTCATGATTAAATCCACCAGTGTGGAACATTATGCATTTTTCTAAACTGTTCAAAGATTCCAAGTTTGAATTTCTGTCATATTCCATCTACACAAGTGTGCCCTGGGAGCAGTACTATACGAACAAAATACCGTTACACACTAATACCATTCAAGAATACTGGCTTCTGGGATGTACGAGATGTTGTATGGTAGAAGCTTACTAACATTTTGAAGAAACATACAGCCCTCATCTTCTGGGGCCACTGAAGACAGGGACAATACATTCCTTTGATATGTTGGTAAACTTCTACCAGACTATATGGCATCACATCCCAGAACACAGTATTCCTCATAGTCACTGGTATTGGAACCTCACACCGAACAACAGCCATTCTGTTGGCTGAACAGAATACTGCAATGATGTGTATTTATGCTAGGGGTCTTACAGTGCACACAATTTCACCTTTCTCTTCACTTTTACACTACATGTTTCGGCACTAATGTGCCATCTTCAGGTGTGCCTCTATCCACGTCAAACTACTGCACTGCAGGCATTTTATGAAGGAGACGGCATGTCATGCAGTGCAGTAGTTTGACGTGGATAGAGACACACCTGAAGATGGGATATTAGTGCCGAAACATGTAGTGTAAAAGTGAAGAGAAAGGTGAAATTGTGTGCACTGTAAGACAGCTAGCATAAATACATATCACGGACATGAATCAGTGCGACAGGACGCTAAAATATAACATTGAGAATACTGCAATTTGTAATGAGAATTTCTGGTTAAGGATTAGTTACTCATATACTGTACATGGTATATATATATAATTCTCCATCACAAATGCTATAGGCATTTCTCTAAAAGTACATCACACAGGAAGATAATATAGTGTTTCAGCAATTCAGTATCTAGAGACATAAATGATATGAACTCCGCCCCAAGTGCAAACAATATATTATATGTCATTGATCTTGCTCTCCTTTACACTACATGTTTCGGCCTCAAACGGCCATCATCAGGTGTATACACTCACCTAGCTGTTACACTGCACTTAGTTTAAAATTTAATGTTTAAAAACACATTGTTCCTTTTGTTGTTATTATCAACATCTGCTTCGTTGATATATGTCTGGTTTATAGATTATTTTTGTTACACACGTTAGCACTTATAAAATCTTTAGTTCTAATTTTAAAACCTTTTAAAATTTTTCTCTAAATTTTAAAATTTAAAATTTTTCTCTAAATTTTAAAATTTAAAATTGTCAGGGTTACTCGCCCTATGTCTATAGTGCTGCAGCGGCAAGTTCTTGTTTCCACACTGTACAGGTGTTATTTTGTGTAGTCTCCCTGTGTGCGTGCCACTGCTATTCTTTACTACGTGTAACCCTGACAATTTTAAATTTTAGAGAAAAAATTTTAAAGGATTTTAAAATTAGAACTAAAGATTTTATAAGTGCTAACATGTGTAACAAAAATAATCTATAAACCAGACAGATATCAATGAAGTAAATGTTGATAATAACAATGGAAACTGAGTGCAGTGTAACAGCAACGTTGAGTGTATACACCTGATGATGGCCGTTTGAGGCCGAAACATGTAGTGTAAAGGAGAGCAAGATCAAGGACATATAATATATTGTTTTCACTCGGGACGGAGTTCATATCATTTATCGTATAGAGTGCAACAGGATGCTTAAATATAATATCTAGAGACATATGTAACAGTGTTTATAATTCAGTAAATTTGTGGTTCGGTGAAACGCCTATTTAAGGCTGCACTTGGGATAAGTGGATTTGAACACTAAACTGAAGGAAATCTTACATGAAGTATCCGAATATTTAGATTATTGACTTGGGATCAATGAAACAGAACATTAAATGTGGAAAACCTTAAGTCAAGGAACAATAAACAGTGGCCCAAAAATTTATTTGAGGTTAACTTTATGATGTCAGTAGTTCAGACTACAGTATCAAACAATGAGTAATGAATAACATATTCCAAAGGACATGACAGATGGCACCAGGCCTAATTAAAGGTACTATCCTGGCATCTGCCTGGAGGGTTAGAAAAAACCCACAAAAATAATTCAGTCAGAAGAGACTATTTTTGAATCAGAATTTCTAGTTAGGTCTTCAAAATATGAACTGAATGCTCTACACACTGGACAGAAATATTTTGTAATTAATGGTAAGATAATCTTGATAGCATATTGGTGTGAATCTGCTTCAGGGATGGTCATTTTGTTCCGTAACGTAACACAGTGACACTTCTGCTGAAATTGTTTTAACCAGCTTTTGGAAACTCTAAATTCCTCTTTGTGTGGTGTTGCATATTATGAAAATTTCCCAGATACCCTTCTTTCATTTAGCTTTCATTTAACAGATCTGACACTCCTTAGCCTCCAGAACAATTTTCAGAATTTTCAAAAGATGAATAGCACATGCTGTAGCCTCCTCTGTCATGACAGAAAACACACTGGAGACCTCTCTTCTCTTTATAGTTTACATAGGCAGCAGAATGAGAACTGATGTCTTTCTTTACTAGTATCACACCTAAAAGATGTGATGACCTGAAGTGCCTCATATGCAACTATCAGCAAACTGACCCATAATTTACATGCCTCTGAGTACACTCGATCAAGTACAGAGCACAACTGAAAGCCAAGGGTCATCATAAAGGAATTGGCCAGTAATCGTTATGTTAATATGATTTAATATTGCATAAAGCAATGAGGTACATTTCCTACAAACATATTATATTTACAAAGGTCATGTTAGCAATGATGACTCATAACATAGAATTTATTTATCTCAGCACAAAATAGATTTCATAGCACCTTTTACCAGTATTGATCCAGACCTCATTCAGATAAGAAAGAAGGCTCTTCATGACTGATTGGTCACATTAATTACTTCATTAATTGCTATTTTCTCTACCTGATTAATCAGTCAAGATAGATCAACCTTATATCACTAACAATTAAACTTCTGAATGCAAAATGCAAATGATATGTATACTTCATATACTTACTGTCAATTAAGCGGCCTCCGTAGTCTAGGGGTAACGTTCCCACCTCATGACTCAAGGTACGCGGGTTCAAACCCGGCGGAGGTCGTGGAATTTTTAAGGGCGGAAAAATTCACGGAACAAGTCCTCCGGGAGGGACTTTAAGCCATGTGTCCCGTGTCGTAGATTTACGGTACGTAATAGAACCTCATGTCTCTAGGAAACCTCTGAGCTAAATTAGGTAATAATTTCCTGCCCAAGTAGTTTCCAATGCCTCTGGTAGATGGGGGAAGCATTAAGGTACCGAGGGCCGACCTCATTGGCTCAACGGGGCTGATAGCACGCACCGTTACCGGTAGGGTATGGCGACAGTAGAAATTAAAAAGGGGACGCACAATGGACCAATAACTGGTCTAAGTGCATGGGGAAACCCACCCCCACCCCCTCTAATACTACTACTACTACTACTACTACTACTACTACTACTACTACTACTACTACTGTCAATTGTAATTTCTACATTTGAACTTCAATACTTATCTGACTACTGGATTTTATAGAGATTAAAAATATGCAGTACATGTTTGTGCTGCTCACACAATAGGTTCTTTCATAACCATCAACATAGCAAAACTTCTTTCTCTGAAGTTTCAATTTGATGTTTTACTTCAAGATCTCCTGTAGTCTTTAATTTTCATATTTTATTTCAATATCTCCTGCAGTCTTCAGACTTTATCATATTTAATCATGTCACCAATATTTACATTAAAAACATCTTTATCTTGCACACAGTATCAAAGGTACCTAATTAATTACAAGGATTTTAACAAAGTGAACATTTTTAATAAGGCTTTGTATATACTTTTCAATTGCATGTACATTTTGTAAAGCACTCTGTGCTTACTTACTGCAGCAAAATGGAACAAAAAATAGAATATGGCAGAAAATAATAGCCAATTTCCACTTTGTCTGAACAGGTTATGCCACTCTCAACTTCAGAGAACAAATTCTGATGGTTATGTGATATAATTCTGTTGCCCTGTGAATGCTGAAAAGGCTCAGAATTTCTCCAGAGAAGCAGTCTGGCTTTTAAGAACAAGAACACTTAAGAATATAATTTCCTACGTGTGTACTTAAATCTCTATTAACAGCCAAATTCACACACCCAGCAAGATGAAGGAGCTCACTATGCTACTATAGCAGTGTTGATGCGTGGGCTTCCACAGATTATCAAGATGGGGGACAGCTAGCATGTAGTGCAACCTATAGAAACACTGAAGAAGCTTCTGGAATTATTGTGATGTTGCTGCATCAAATGAACAGTTTTCTGCAGTCCCACAACAACCATGGAAAGTACATTAAAAAATTCCAGATTTAAAGGCTGGCCCAGAAGATGAGAAACAAAGAAGTTTAAGAGTGAGGAAGATATTATCTACTTAATTATAGTCATGCCTCTGCAATATGTTATATAGTCACTCTGACAACTATTCCATCTCTAACTTCATGATTAATTATCATTATAGTATCTTCTCTTGAGTGTGCGATATTTACGGAGCATATAGAGGGCTTCAAGTTCCTTCACCACATAATTGCCATGAGCAATTAAAACTTCAATTTTCTCTGGATCACTGACTTGTTTATTCTTACTGAAAGCTCGTTTCAGGCGTGTTCGGAAGTAGTCATAGCCTTGTGGATAGTCTCGGCCAAGATACAGCAACTGAAACATGAAAACATCAGGTACATTTCATAGAATATATACTTAAAACATTCAGTCATCTCATGAACTGACAGTGCAATTTCAGAATATGGAAAATTACATTTAAAAGTCATATACTAAAAGTAGTTTCAGATATATAACAAAAGTTCAATAGTTGTTCTCTTAAAAAAGGAAAGAAAATATATAATTAGAACTCTTACTAAGTAGTTTTTCATTCTCTTAAATGCCATTAGGACATAACTTTTTAAAGGCCTTTAGAATCATACAATATCTAAGATTTTGCCACTGAACTGCAGTAGATTTTGTCCCACCTCAATTTAAACAAAACTNCAATGATATTCTAAACACCTTATACAAATAGTAGATGTTTTAAACTTCTCTTCATTTTCTTTCTCGGTGGTCACCTACAAACCATACTTTCTTTGCATAGTCCTTTCTCACTAAAATTCTAATTAATTTTTCTACCATTTTATAGAATCCATTTTGTGTAGTGACAGAAATTTATTCACATACTGAACATAGTTAAAAACAAAAGGAAGCCCTTCCAAACACCAGCTCAGCTCTGAATGCAATCTGTGGGTCACAGTAACAGCATCAACTTGGAAGATCATCCTGACACAGGTGTCAATACTGTGCTCAAGACACTTGTCCTCTGATTGCTAACACGTCACATGCACCAAACACACGGTAACATGGTTGTTACATGAAGCAGTGGACTTGAACTCCACATATAATGCAGCCTACCTACAATAGTAGTAGCTGGGATAGCTCAGTCGGTATAGCAACTAGGCTAGAGGCTAGATAGCTGAATTCAATTCCTGGCAGAGGCAAGAACATCACAGCATCCCGGCTGTGGCATCCACCAGCGTAGCCGATGAATACTAGGGACTCTTTTGAAGGTAAAGTGGTCAAAGTGTGAAGGTGACCACTCACCTCCATCTAATGTCAAGGTTAAGAATGGTGAAGACATAACTCCCACATCTGTCTTCATGGCATGGTGCTTAATTAATTAAATACAGAGACAACTTTACCTTTATCTTACCTACAGTAGCAGCAAAAAGCAGCAATAGGATAATGGTACCTCCATGACTGCATATGTGCAGGATATACACAGTGTGTCCAGGTTGTTAGGACTGTGTTCATTAAATTAAAAGACATGAATTATTTTCAAAATTTCACTCTTTTCATTCAAAATAGTCTCTTTCTGAATCAATATATAGCTGGAATCGATTGAAAAGTTTTTTAAAACAGTCACTGTACTTCTTTTGTGGAATCACATTTAAGACTGTGGTACATTTCCTTTGGATGTCCTGGATGGTCTCGTGACGGTCTCC